AGAAACACATATCATATTTTCAACTAGCTCTGCTGATCAAGGAAAGGTTCTTTTTCGTGAATACGCATTGTTGAGTATCGTATCATTGTTATGTGGAGAGAACGTACAGGGGGTGTGCACGAATCGATGCCCCCAAGAGCGTAGCATGAGCATGTTGGAGGTTGCTCAGCCTCGATACAACCATTCTAGGCTACAGGGATAACTAGTGCTAGTCCTTAAGCTCCAGCTTTTGCCCAGAGCCGAGCCTCCTCCTTGATTGTGCGGACAGGCTCGTCGGTAGATGGTCGGTGGTCGTTGAAGAAAGCGGTTTCGATGCTTCCAGATACTCCATGCAGTAGGGATATAAGAGAGTTGAGGCCCTTCCACAAAGTTGCCGGAGAAGCGGCAAGTGAGGCAGACCACCACAAGAAAGCCACGTCGGCGCTTGGCAGAAGCACCGGGAGGCGACACCAGGATAATATCTCATGCCAGGTGATCTTCGAAAAGATACACTGGACAAGCAGATGATCAATGGTCTCAAGCTCCTGGCTGCACACCTTGCATAGAGGGTCGTGAGGTAAACCATGACGCGCTCTTCGTTCCGCAGTCCATCAGCGGTCCAGGGAGGCTAACCAGAGAAAAAACTTGGCGTTCATCGGTGCCAAACACTTCCATATGGGCCGCCAATTGGGCGTGGTGGTGGAGCCAAGGAATAGGGACATGTAAGCAGAGCCAGTCGTGTATTGCCCATTCTGGGTCCACTTCAAAGAGATCTATCGGGCACGTTGATACGTCCATTTTGCATCATGTTTTCCTACTATTATTTATTATGTTTTGGGTAATTATTTTACTTTATGATGCAATTCTAATGCATTTTCCCTCTCATTTTGTAAGTTTCACATGAAGAGGGAGGTTGCCGGCAGCTGGAATTTTGGACCAGAAAAAGCTACAACAGAGATAGGTATTCTCAGAACTCCAAATGACCTGAAAATTTACAAAGAATTATTTTGGAATATATACAAATACAAGTGGAGGAAATACCAGGAGGGGGCCACTAGAGAGTCACGAGCTCAGGGGCTCCACCAGCAGGCCTCTAGGGCCCATCTTCTCCTATATGATGCTATTTTCCCTAGAAAAAATAGAAAAAAACTTTCGGGATGAAGGGCCGCCATCTCGAGGCGGAACCTTTACAGGAACACTTTTGCTCTCCAGCGAAGCAATTTCGCCGGGGATACTTCCCTCTGGGAGGGGAGAATCGAAGCCATCGCCATTGCCAACGATCTTCTCATCGTGGGACGATCAATCTTCATCAACATCTTCACCAGAACCATCTCCTCTCAAACCCTAGTTCATCTCATGTATTCAATCTTTGTCCGAAAACCTCAGATTGGTACCTGTGGGTTGCTAGTAGTGTTTATTACATCTTTTAGTTGATGCTAGTTGGTTTATTTGGTGGAAGATTATATGTTCACATCCTTAAGCATAGTCAATACACCTATGATCGTAAACACGAACTTGATTTGTGAGTAGTTACTATTGTTCTTGAGGACATGGGAGAAATCTTGTTATAAGTAATCATGTGAAGTTGGTATTCGTTCGATATTTTGATGATATGTATGTTGTTGGTTCCCTTAGTGGTGTTATGTGAACATCGACTACATGACACTTCAACCACAATTGGGCCTAAGGGAAGGCATGGGGGGGGGTAATAAGTAGATGATGTGTTTTGAGAGTGACAGAAGCTTAGATCCTAGTTTATGTGTTATTCTGTAAGGGGCTAATTTGGATCCATATGTTTCATGCTATGTTAGATGTATCTTAATTCTTCTTTCTTAGTTGCGGATGCTTGCAAGAGGGGTAATCATAAGAGGCTTGCTTATTCAATTAAGAATAGCACCCTTGCACCGGTGTCACCCACATACCAAATTATCAAAGTGTAGGATCGAAAGTATGTCTAGAGGGGGGTGATTAGACTACTTGACCAAATAAAACCTAATATTTTCCCAATTTTAGTTGTAGGCAGATTTTACCAATTATAGCAAGTCAAGCAACACCCTACACATGCAATTCTAAGAGTATAGTAGAGGAAAATAAAACATCGCACATGTAAGTAAAGGAGGGGTTTGGAGAAGGCAAACGCAATGGGGACACGATGCTTTTTGGTGTGGTTCTGATAGGTGGTGCTATCGTACGTCCATGTTGATGGAGACTTCAACCCACAAAGGGTAACGACTGCGCGAGTCCACAGAGGGCTCCACCCATAAAAGGTCCACGAAGAAGCAACCTTGTCTATCCCACCTTGGCCATCGTCCATGAAGGACTTCTTGGGGAACGTAGCAAAAATTCAAAATTTTCCTACGTGTCACCAAGATCTATCTATGGAGAAACCAGTAATGAGGGGAAGGAGAGTGCATCTACATACCCTTGTAGATCGCTAAGCGGAAGCGTTCAAGAGAACAGGGTTGAAGGAGTCGTACTCGTCGTGATACAAATCACCGGAGATCCTAGTGCCGAACGGACGACACCTCCGCGTTCAACACACGTACAGCCCGGTGACGTCTCCCATGCCTTGATCCAGCAAGGAGAGAGGGAGAGGTTAAGGAAGACTCCGTCCAGCAGCAGCACAACGGCGTGGTGGTGGTGGAGGAGCGTGGTGATCCAGCAGGGCTTCGCCAAGCACCGCGGGAGAGGAGAAGGGAGAGAGGTAGGGCTGCGCTAGGGAGAGGTCAAAACTCATGTCTTGGCAGCCCCAAAACCCTCAAGTATATATAGGGGAGAGGGAGGGGGGTGCGCCCCCTCTAGGGTTTTCACCCCAAGGGGTGCGGCAGCCCCAATCCCATCTAAGGGTGGCGGCCAAGGGGGGAGAGGGGGGAAACTTGCCCCC